ATTGAGGTGATATTATCGTTGAGGTGATAGGCCCGTGCGGAGCACGGGCAATTTCATTGAAATTCTGCTACAGCAGCCGTTGGGCCCGAGTAAGTGCATTGAGTGGAAAGCTCAATCTACAGGTTGGGCCCGGCCCAGAGGTTAATTAGGTTTCCCATTAACACGCAGTGCGGGAATAATAACACGTTTCTAGAGATGGCAAGCCCAATTCTCTGAATTTCCTTGTTAGAGCATGAAATAACACACTGTTTCCGCTACTTCGATCTTATGCCACAAATTTACATACGGCTCTATCCACAAACTTACAGTGTTTGATATACTACTGCTAAGTGCACCTGACTTTGATCTTATGAAATACACAGCAGCTTCTCCACCCAAGCAGTGGATGTTCCCAACGTCGTTTCTGGAGGCTCAGGTCGCGTAACCTCCCTTCTGCTGTGTTACTTAGTTGCCCCCACGTATACTGATCGCTTTATTACTATACCAAACCCGCGATATCACCGTAGATAGCTTGATCGGTGGCGTTCAGAAAATTTGCTCTTCAACTGCAGGCCCCACAACCTGTAATAGGGCTTACTAATGCCAAGTCTGTCATGCTCATCTTGGAATGCCGTCAATCGACGAAACATCCCGTGATGTGATTGAGTTCTGCACGGATAGGAGCCCGGTGGCTCAGAGTAGCGGTATTCAATACCCAACCAGGCTATCCTTGACGCTGTCGCGTGGATTGCCTCTTTACCCGTGCTCGCGACCATGTCATTTGTCGGCAAGCACCCCGGCTGAGGCCACGTCCTAGACAGCGGTAGCTTCTCATCGTCTGAAACGTTGCTAAAATGGACAGCCTTATGTAGCTCTACCGATTTATACTAGCTGCCGCAGCCTCCGTGGCCGTTGCCTTCGCTGCCGCTGCCGTTGCCGCCCGCCAACGCATGGTTCTGGTAAGCCGGACCTTGCAATAAGGCTTACTTCGGCCTGGATCAGTCTTACCTGCACCGCGGACAGTTTGGAAGGGGCATGTTGGTACGGAATACATGTACATTGTAAGTACTCACACGCTGGGAACTAAAGTCCTAAATGGGGGCAGCAGCTAGGAGGCACCTCAAACTGCTATTATAGTTTCGCGTTGATCTCTTATAGCTTTCACTAGCGATTACAGTGTTTCTGTAACGGGTTGGGCCGTATCGGGCCGCGCTCGCAACTACAGGTGCCCATTACGCTAAAAAGGCTAGCATAAGATACTAGAGCTGCTAATATCGTTCCGTAATTGATACATAATATAGCCGCCGCTATCTGTATCCCGGCCCATCACAGTTTTTAGTGTAATACCCTCCGAGATCTCTACCACAATCGATCGTAGTAGCGTATCAAGCCTTCCCTTACGAGCAGCTAACTTGCTGCTATACACCCTTGAGTGAATGTCTAGCTTGGCGCAGAGTGTCATGGTACGGGCTTACGGGCAGGGAGGGCAGGCACGTGTACAGATTCTATTGCTACAGACTTATCAGACAGGCTCTTGCTACAGGTAGTATAGAGGAGTAGACAGGGCCGTAGCCTGAAGAGCAATCTAGAACTACGTTACGGCGGTTCTGCAGAATCCGGGTGTGCACACTAAGATTATATCGGCAACTCATTATTGACAGCCCGGTGCCCGATACTCACCCGGCCCATGGTCCTAGCGTTACGGGCTCATCTATTATTGCTCAACAAAGAGAATGTCATACATATGTACGATTCAGCTCTATTTACTGTCTGTCTGTTGCCCAAGCTGTACCTCCTTTAGCATTGCTAGCTAGATGTCAAATACTGACTTGATATATGACCTGAGACGCGCCTATAGAAAAAAGGTTTTTTTTCCACTCTTTTCTCTAGCTAGTTTAGCTGGTTTTCGAGCCCCTGTTTCGGCTTACTCTCTTGCTAGTTAGGCTGGCGGAGATTACGATGTTTGTTACGTCACGAAATACTATCCAGAAACAGAGACTCCTAGCATCTTGGCACGGATATAATCGATCGGTGAAGAGCATCTTGGAGCTAATCAAATCGCGTTTCTTCTTCCACCAAACCTTCCTCCGGGACCGATTATAAGATGCAGCTAAAGCTGCAGAAATACTGAGCTTGTGATTTATCCGAAGTCCAGTCGAGAAGAACGGGATAGCTCTCATGTATTGAACACGTTGGATCTCGGCGTGTACGCAGAATGGAAATATCTTACAAACGGGTACCGAAAAACGGCCCTTTTAACAGTCGACTTAGTGTATCGAGTAGAGACATCACGGAATTTTTTCGGCCTGAAGCAGTCCCACTCTCACCGCAAACAGTCCAGATGGCAGGTTGGGAGTGTTTCTGCAAGGAAACGGCTACAGGCTTTGTAGTAGCTCAAAAAAAGGAGCGTTTTAAGCACCACATAGGTGTCTTCGTAGCTTGGCAGTTTGGGGCTTAGGCAGTATTTAAGATTGAAATTACCCTGTGAAGTTGAAGATCAACAGCAAACTATCCTGAACAACAAAGAGACTTGAATCGAAAATATGCATATTCTTGAGAGTCAATCACTCAGCGGAGATGAAGGCAGCACAAAGACGATGCAGGAGGATCGGGAAGCAGCTTCAGTTTACTGGAAAAGCGCTCTAGCTGGCTGCCAGGCTATATCGTTCCCTACCTTGCCACCAGCCGTGCAGCAGCCAGTTGCGGAAACGACAACGACATACCAATGCCTCCCACTGGTAAGACGGCCATCCGACGTAACAATTTCCACTATCGTCTATGGCGCCTGGGCCATTGTCGCCAGCTACTATACCAACATGGACGATGTTGTATTTGGTGCTACCATAACCGGACGGAAGGCGTATATCAATGGCGCCAAGGTTGGGGTTGAACCTGACATTACTGTGGTCCCGGTACGAGTCTGTATACGAGATGATGCTGCTGTATCTTGCTTTTTGCATAACTTGCAGCAACAAGAGGCTCAGATGACTCTACACAAGCAGACGGGACTTGAGCAGATTGCCAAGGTATCAGCGGACGCCAAGCATGCCTGTCAATTTCAAACTCTGCTCACATTACAGTCCGCGTCTGGAAAAGGAGGCAAAGAAACTATTGGGGAGTGGCACAGTCAATCCAAGTTGCAGGATTTCACAAAATTCGCGCTGGTAATCCAGTGCGCACTTGACGACACAGAGGGGATTAGGATCACAGCCAGCTTCGACCCAAGAGTGTTGGACCAATGGAATGTGGACAAGATGCTGCAACAGTTCAGCTTCATTATGCTGCAATTGACTAGCGCAGATGAAGATACAAAGCTCACCACTATCGATGCTATCACACCCGAAGACAGACAACAGTTGTGGGACTGGAATCGCAATATACCTCCCACAACTGAACGTTGCATCCACGACTTGTTTACAGAACAGGCAAAGGCACGGCCTACTGCGCCCGCCATCTGCGCATGGGATGGCGAGATGACGTATGGCGAGCTAGACACGCTATCCTCTAGATTGGCTAGCCATCTAGTCGATCTGGGAGTTGAGCCAGAAGTCATTGTCCCTCTCTGCTTTGAAAAGTCAATGTGGGTAGTGGTAGCAATGCTTGCTGTGCTCAAGGCTGGCGGGGCGTTTCTCCTTCTCGATCCATCCTTGCCCCGTGAGCGCCTAAAATTGATGTGCAGGAAGGCATCGGGTTCGATAGCTCTGTCGTCTCAGGCGAGTGCGATGGTTATCGATGATTTGGTCAGCACTCTTGTGATCGTCAATCGCGATTCAATCTGTCGAACCAGTTCTCAAGCTTCGCCTCCTGCCACTGTAAAGCCTGGAAATACTGCCTACGTCATTTTCACATCGGGAAGTACAGGTGAACCAAAAGGTTGCAGAGTTGAGCATCAAGCAGCGTGCTCTTCTGCGGTCAGTCACGGTCATATCTTAGGAATCCACGCAAACACTCGAACGCTGCAGTTCGCTTCCTACTCCTTCGCTGTGTCCTTGGTAGAGATGCTGAACAACTTCATTCATGGTGGCTGCATCTGTATTTTGTCAGAAGAAGAGCGAAGAATGAGCCTAGGCCCCGCTATGTCTAGGATGAGAGTGAGCTGGGCGTGCCTCACTTCGACCGTGCTAGACCTTATAACACCCGATGCAGTTCCGTCGTTAGATGTTGTATGTGTGGGTGGAGATCCAATACGTCGCTCTCAGATTATGCAGTGGGAAGCGCGGGTACATCTGCGTCAGTCGTACGGAAGCAGTGAGGCGGCGGGTGCTGTCACGTCCACAATCATCACAAGCACTTCCACGAATAAAGATATAGGCCCGGCTATTACAGGTGTATTTTGGATTGTGGATCCCAATGATCATGAGCGACTCCTCCCAATAGGAGCTGTTGGTGAAATTCTTATCGAGGGTCCCGCACTAGGTCGGGAGTACATTGATGAGCCAGAAAAGACGGCCGCATCCTTCATAGAGGCACCGGCATGGAGAGCTTCTTTCGGGCAGAACAACCGCTCCAGACGCCTGTACAAGACTGGAGACTTGGCGAGATACAAAAAGGACGGGTCGGTTGAGCTAATGGGACGAAAAGACAACCAGGTGAAACTTCGTGGGCAGCGTATCGAATTAGGGGAGATAGAGCACCAAGTCAGGCAGGCAAAGTGCGGCGTGAAAGGAGCCGTGGCAGAGCTGATTAGACCTCGCGATAGCGTGGATGATCTGCTTGCTTGCTTTATCATTCTCGATAATAACCCGGACAACGAGATGAACGCAAGCGACGAAAACACGAAGTACGAGACAGACACACAGAAAGTTGTGCAGCAAGTTCAAGAGAAGTTGGATCAGTTTCTTCCGCAATACATGGTTCCGTCAGCGTTCGTCAGACTGCCCCATCTACCATTAACATGGTCCGGAAAGATTGACCGCAGAAAAATACGCGAAATAGGGGCGTCCTTCTCAACGCAGCAATTACTAGCCGAGCTGCGTACGCAGAGCCAGGGGCCTACTAAGCGGCAGCCAATAACAGCGATAGAGCAGGCGATGCAGCAGCTATGGGCTCAAGTACTCTTTATGGATATGGATACTATTGGGCTGGATGACAGCTTCTTCCGCCTAGGTGGCGACTCGATCGCGGCCATGAAGCTGGTGGCTGAAGCCCGCAGGTTAGGGATGCAATTGACAGTAGCAGACGTCTTTCGCAGCCCCAAGCTCTGTCAGCTTAGCATTGCCGCCACCGCATCCGTCACAGATTCTCCCACTACAATCCCTCGTGTGCAGCATATTGGACCCGCTTCACAATCCTTTGCCCAAGGACGTTTGTGGTTCTTAGAGGAGTTGTACCCGGGATTGAACTGGTACTCGATGCCACTCATGGTGCGCATAAAGGGTTCAATGAGGCTAGAAGCACTCAAATCTGCCCTGCTTGCAGTCGAGAGCCGCCATGAGACGCTGCGGACGACTTTTGACACTATCAATGGTGTTGGCTCGCAAATCGTCCGGCCATTCTGCAGCAAAGATATCAATGTTATCGAACTGCCGGCAGGCGACGAGCAGCGTCTTACAGATGCTCTTAAACGGGACCAAGCGACTCCTTTCAACTTGCGGTTGGAGCCTGGATGGAGGGCAACTATCTACCATATAGGTAAAGATGAACACGTGCTATCTATTGTCATGCACCATGTTATCTCGGATGGCTGGTCCTTGGATGTGCTAACGCGCGAGTTGGCTGCTTTTTACTTTGCCGCGACACAGGGCCAGGATCCGCTGGCTCAGGTACAGCCGCTCCCAATTCAGTACTGCGACTTCTCGCTCTGGCAGAGAGAGCAAGCCCAGGCCGAAAACCACCAAAAACAGCTCAGCTATTGGGTCCGGCAGCTCCAGGGAAACCGACCTGCGGAACTGCCTTGTGACAAGCCCCGACCCGCTGCCTTATCAGGGCAGGCCGGTGTGCGAACCATTAAAATCGACGGGTCTCTATATGATAATCTACAGCGTTTTTGCAAGTTGCACGGAACGACACACTTTGTAGCTCTGCTAGCTGCCTTCCGAACCACACATTTCCGACTCACCGGCCAAGGCGACGCAACCATCGGCACCCCAAATGCCAATCGAGATAGGTGGGAGGTCAAGGATATGATCGGCTTCTTTGTCAACTTACAATGTCTTCGAATATCTGTTGGCGAGGAAACCTTTAAGGGCCTTGTTGATCAGGTCCATAATATCGTAGTGGCGTCCCATGCCAATGCGGATGTTCCATTTGAGAGCATCGTATCGAAGCTAAAGAATGATCGAGATCTGTCTCGCCATCCATTTTTTCAGATAGTGTTTGCTGTACACGCTCAGCAGGATTTCGGACAACTGAAACTCGACGGCTTGGAAACAGAGGTCGTGTCTACGTCGGCAAATTCAAGGTTCGATCTGGAGTTCCACTTCTACCAGCAGGCCGATGGCCTTCAGGGCAGCGTGCTGTTCTCTACCGACTTGTACGCTCCAGAAACCATTGACAATATGCTCTCAATATTCCACGTTGTCTTGGAAACATGTCTTAAGGAGCCTGAGACAGTAGTGGCTTCATTGCCATTGCTAAGTGACGCTCACTTCCAAAAGCTGGATGAGATGGGGCTTATCCAGGTCGAAGAGACGGCTTATCCCCGTGACTCTAGTATCGTAGACTTGTTTCGCCAGCAGGCTTCTGTTTGTCCGTCCAGGGTTGCCGTCCAAGATGCGTCGGCAAAGATGACGTACGCTCAATTAGATGAAGCATCTGATACTCTTGCTTGGTGGTTGTCTAAGCGAGCGCTCGCTCCGGACACCCTCGTAGGCGTGCTCGCGAATCGAAGCTGCGAGGCAATCATTGCGTTCCTGGGCATCCTGAAAGCAAACCTGGCCTATCTTCCACTTGATTCCAAGGCGCCAACAAAAAGGATAGAGGCCATCCTGTCGTCCCTTCCCGGCCATACTATTCTTCTTACAGGAGCAGATATTCCAAATACGAACATACAGCTGAGCAAAGTTGAGTTTTTTGGCATCGGGAAAGCCTTGACAGAAGTGATGGACAACTTCATTACTCAACAATCTATGAAGACTATTGCGGGGCCATCATCTACCAGCCTCGCTTATGTCATGTTCACCTCAGGGTCGACAGGCCAGCCAAAGGGAGTCATGGTGGAACACCGCGGCATTGTTCGACTAGTAAGGGATAACAACCTAGTTCAGTATCTTCCGGACCCACCTGTCATGGCCCACATGGCCAATCTTGCCTTTGACGCCTCGACATGGGAGATTTACGCCCCTCTATTAAATGGTGGCACTATAGTCTGTATTGGGCCAATGGCGGTCCTGGATCCCGAGGTTGTACTCCAGATCTTTCGCCTACATCATGTACAGTCAGCCTTCATGACACCAACTCTGATGGGCAGTTATGCGAAACAATTACCTGCAATATTCACTGGTATCGAGATGCTGTGTGTTGGAGGTGAGGCACTTGAACCACATCACATTCAGAGCATAGAGAATGTGTTCACGGGCAAGCTTGTGAACTCATATGGCCCAACCGAGAACTCCGCCTGGAGCACACTCTTCCTCGTCACGAAGAAAGAGAGGTCACTGAACGGCGTGCCTATTGGCCGAGCGTTGAGCAACTCTGGTGCTTACGTTATGGACTCGAAGCTGACCATTGTGCCTCTCGGAATCGTCGGTGAGCTCGTCGTCACAGGCGATGGTGTAGCGCGTGGATATACCGATCCCAGTCGTGACATCGATCGCTTTATCTCGATTACTATCGGTGGTCAGACGGTCAGAGCGTACCGAACCGGTGATTTTGCCCGCTGGCGACCAACCGACGGCGAGCTAGAGTATTTCGGTCGGATGGATGGACAAGTCAAGATTCGCGGAAACCGTGTCGAGTTGAGCGAGATCGAGCACGTCCTCCATAGCCACAAATCGGTCAGTGAAGCAGTAGTGGTCGTCCAGCAGCAAGGCGGAGAGGCGCGGCTGGCTGCGTTCGTCACAGCAAACGAAAGCACTGCAATCGCCAATTCACAGCATGGCAATAGTGGCGAATCGAACCACGTTGACGCGTGGGAAACGAAATTCGAATCTGAACTGTATTCACCAATCAGTGTTGTTCAACCTGAAAGCATTGGTCGAGACTTTGTTAGCTGGACTTCAATGTTTGATGGCACCGAGATAGACAAGGGGGAAATGAACGAGTGGCTGGATGACACTATACACACCATACTCGAGACCCATCGACCCGATCACGTACTCGAGATTGGATCCGGAACCGGCATGATCCTGTTCAATTTGGGCGATGGGCTGCAAAGTTATGTGGGTCTGGAACCGTCCCAGAAAGCCATCAATTTCATCACAGAATCCGTCAAATCTATGCCTGTATTGTCAAGCAAGGTCCAAATGCATAAGGCTACAGCAGCAGATGTTGGGCATCTTGAAACGCCTATCATCGCAAGCCTTGTCATTGTGAACTCGGTTGTTCAATACTTCCCGAGCGTGGAGTACCTCTTCAAGACCGTGCAGCAGCTTCTCAAGATTGGCACTGTTCGCACGATCTATTTTGGCGACATTCGATCCTATGCGTTGCACCGAGAGTTCTTGGTAACGCGATCACTGCATATAGCCAGTGGCAAGGCAACAAGGGCTGACATTCAACGCATGGTAACTGACATGGAGCGAGTCGAGCGTGAGCTGCTGGTTGATCCAGGTTTCTTCACTTCCCTGCCTGATTACTTTCCGGACCTCATCGAGCATGTCGAGATCCTACCTAAGAAGATGAGGGCGACAAATGAGCTGAGTTGCTACCGCTATGCAGCTGTTGTGCATGTTAAGGAAACAAACCAGCAGACAAGAGATATTCGCAGCCTTGGAGATGGTGAATGGATCGATTTTGTAGAGCGCCAGCTGGAGCGCCAGTCTCTGCAGGAGCTGCTTCGGGATCTCCCTGCATCGGCCACAATAGCTGTGAGCAACATTCCTTACAGCAAGACTATCATAGATCGGTGCGTGATAGATGCGCTGGGTGAAACAGAAGCAAAGACATTCGATCACGAGGATTGGCTGTCTGAAGTACATCAGAGAGCCCAGAGCTTTGCCTCGCTTTCACCTATAGACTTGGTTGAGCTTGCCCGAGAGGCCAATTGCCAAGTAGAGATTAGTTGGAACAGACAATTCTCTCAGCGTGGTGGTTTAGATGTCATCTTCCATCGATACCCGCAGAAGGAAGAGAGTAGGATAATGTTCCGATTCCCCACTGACCACTCAGATCGTCCGTTGCATAGTCTCGGCAGCAAGCCGTTACAGCACAATTTCCTACAGAAAATCCCACAAGAGCTGCTGGAGATTGCTGAAGGTCACCTGCCTGCTTACATGGTTCCTCAGACTATCACCGTGCTAGACGCAATGCCGATGAACCAGAACGGCAAGGTAGACCGAAAGGCGCTTGCAGAACGAATAGAAGTACAGAATAGCCACAGAGAGTCGACCCAGCAACTGATGTCAGCTGGAGAAAAGACCATGCAGCAGCTGTGGGCTCAGGTACTCGGCATCAATGCGGAAACCATCGGGCTAGACGACAGCTTCTTCCGCCTAGGCGGCGACTCGATCGCGGCCATGAAGCTGGTGTCTGAAGCTCGCAAGCAAGGCATTCAATTGACAGTTGCGAGCATTTTCCATTCTCCTAAGCTCATTGATCTAGTGGCTTCAGCCCACAAAGAGGCTCCAGCCACACCACAATATATTGAGCCTTTCTCGCTTCTTAGCTTGAATTCAGACACCGAAAAAGCACAAATCCAGGAGGAAGTTGCAGCTGGCTGTGGCCTAGATAGAGGCCTAGTAGAGGACATCTACCCGTGCTCACCTCTACAGGAGGGCCTGATGTCACTAACGTCGAGGCGAGCAGGCGACTATATCATGCAGAGCGTGCTAGAGCTGCATAGCGACATAGATGAAGGCGCTTTCCGGGCAGCGTGGGAGCAGGTGGTTCTATCATCAGCCGTGCTGCGCACCCGGATCGTGCAGCACAGTATGCTGGGCCTATTGCAGGCTGTCGTTGCAGAAGGCATACAGTGGGCCGAGTTTGATGACCTGCAAGCGTACCTTGCGAAGGATAAGTCTACAACAATGCAGGTGGGCGACCCTCTAGCGCGCTATGCAATTGTTAAGGAACACGGGGGCGAGAAGCGCTGGTTTGTGTGGACCATCCACCACACTTTGTATGATGGCTGGTCTCTGCCACGCATCCTAAATGCGGTTGGGAGGGCGTACCGAGAGACTGCAGTCGAGAAGCCTACTGGGTTCAACGCCTTTATCCAGCATCTTGGCCAGCAAGATCAGGAGGCGATCACGAAGTACTGGCAAGCCACGCTTGCCGACTTCAATGGGACCCTATTCCCACCACTATCGACATCATCATCAGCACAGCAGCCTGTTGCGAATGCAATGCTGGAGTACCAGTGCGCGCCACTCCCTAAGACAGCATCCAACACAACTATGTCGACGCTGATCCGCGCTGCGTGGGCTATTGTCACTGGGAACTATACCAACTCAGATGATGTTGTCTTTGGGACAACAGTAATGGGTCGAAACACACCAGTCCCTGGAATCGAGGCTATGCTGGGACCTACCATCGCGACAGTACCAGTACGTGTGCGTTTTCAGAAGGAACTCACTGTGCAAGCTCTCCTTGATACAGTGCAGCGGCACGCGACCGAGATGATTCCATATGAGCAAACGGGACTGCACCGGATCGCCAAGATGGGAGTCGATGCACAGCATGCTTGCAGCTTTCAGTCGCTAGTAGTGGTGCAGCCAGCTGATAGCCATCTGGAGATGAACAAAGAGCTAGGGACGTGGCATAGTCGTTCAGAGATACAGGACTTTACGACATATGCGTTGATGGTCCAGTGCACACTAGCGGCAGAAGGAGTCCACATCACAGCTAGTTTCGACCCAAGAGCGATAGGGCGCTGGCAGCTAGAGAAGATAATGGGCCAGTTCAGCTTCGTCATGAAACAGATGGCGGAAGCTGACGCCAGCACAACAATTGCCGATATCAATCTACTTAGCTCCAAGGATAAACAGCAGCTATGGGAATGGAACGCTAAAGTCCCAGCAATGGTAGAGCGGTGTGTGCATGGCCTGTTCATGGAGCAGGCAAGGGCACGGCCTACTGCACCCGCCATCTGCGCGTGGGATGGCGAGACGACATACGGCGAGATTACGTACGGCGAGCTAGATGCCTTGTCCTCTAGGCTAGCTAGCTATCTGATTGATCTAGGAGTTGGGCCAGAAGTTATTGTTCCTCTCTGCTTTGAAAAGTCAATGTGGACAGTGGTAGCAATGCTCGCTGTGCTCAAGGCTGGCGGGGCGTTTGCACCGCTTGACCCAGAGCATCCACCAAGTCGGCACGAGGAGATCTTTCGGCAGACCAAGGCAAGAGTAGTACTAGCCTCAGAGCAATACACGACTCTCTGCAAAAGAGAAGGTCGCGTCGTTGTAACAGTCAGTAAAGCATCGGTCCATCGGCTGCTCAGCGAGGCCAGCGAGCGGAAAGTGCACCCGGATGTACAACCAGGAAACAGTGCCTATGTCATCTTTACATCAGGTAGCACAGGTACGCCCAAGGGCGTGGTGGTCGAGCATCAGGCCATCGTGACGAGTAGTCTGGGTCACGGCGAAGCGCTTGGGTTCACGCAAGATAGTCGAGTCCTCCAGTTCTCATCTTACACATTCGACGCCTGTATAGCCGAAATCTGGACTACGCTGATACATGGCGGATGTACATGTGTCCCTTCAGAGCGCGATCGGCGTAATAGTCTGTCTGAGGCCATTAGCAGGATGAGTGTGACCTGGGTTTTTCTTACACCGACTGTTGCACGTCTCCTAGACGCTCGTGAGATTGCCTCTGTCTCTACACTTGCAGTAGGTGGCGAACTCATCCGCTCTACGGACTGGGACCTTTGGGAGGGTCATGTTAGACTGATACACGTTTATGGGCCTACAGAGTGTTGTGTCTACAGCACTGCGTATTTTGATATAAATGCGTCACGGCCTGCAGTCATTGGGAAATCAATCGCGTCAGTGAGCTGGGTGGTAGATCCGGATAATCACCATAGGCTGGCGCCTCTAGGCTCAGTAGGCGAGCTGCTTATCGAGGGACCGATCCTGGCGCGCGGCTACCTCGATGATATGGAGAAGACGGCGGCAGCGTTCGTCTCCGACCCTGCTTGGTTGCTAGAGATAGGGCGGACAGGTCGAGTATATAAGACGGGCGATCTTGTATTCTACAACGCAGATGGCGACCTGGTGTACGTGGGCCGCAAGGATGGGCAGGTCAAGATACGCGGGCAGCGGGTAGAGCTAGGAGAGATTGAGCACCACGTGCGCGAGTGTATGCCAGCAGTTGAGCAGGTGGCAGCAGAGGTGATTACGCCAGGAAACAAGAAGGACAAAGCAGTGGTGGCCATCTTCGTGCAGCAGGATAACGTCTCGACCGAAGGCGAGTTTGCGGCCCGCGTTTTTTTCCCTACGAATGTAGACGACCAGCTTAGCGAGCGGCTACCCAGCCATATGCTACCTGGCGTCTATATTAAATTGTCAAAGCTTCCAACAATGACATCAGGCAAGACAGACAGACGGCGACTGCGCGAGATAGGAGCGTCCTTCTCAGCGCAGCAATTAGCCGAGCTACGCATGCAGAACCAGGGACCTAAGCGGCAGCCAGTAACAGCCATAGAGCAGACACTACAGCAGCTATGGGCTCAGGTACTTGGCATTGATGCGGATACTATCGGGCTGGACGATAACTTCCTGCGTCTAGGTGGCGACTCGATCGCGGCCATGAAATTGGTGGCCGAAGCCCGTAAGCAAGACATCCACTTGACAGTTGCCATGGTCTTCCGGGCTTCAATACTGCATGATCTCGCCACTCTTTCCTCGCGTTCATCCACTACTGCTGCTTTCCAGCCTCCTGCCAGCTTTTCTTTACTTTCGTCTAGTCTATACGAGGCTGTAGTTTCCAGCGGGACGCAATGTCGGCCTTTCGTAGCCTTGGATCGCGTTGAGGACATACGGCCTGTCTCCTTCATTCAGGAACATTATCTTTCTTACGGCGAACGGAATTCTCGGGATGCCTTCAACTACATCTACCTGGATTTGGACCCCTTTTTGGATGTCGGCCGTCTGGAAAATACTTGTCGTTCGCTAACACAGCACTTCAAAATTCTCCGCACGCATTTTTCGTCCTACCAAGGCCAATACTTGCAGATGGTTCTCCGCGATTTTGATGCACCCTTTTCAACTTTTGAGGTCAATGGGTCCATGGATGGAGAATCTAATGCCATAGTTCTACGAGATGTCTGTCAGTCGTCGCCGCTTGGGGCACCGACTTCGTTCATCTTCATCCGCAATGCCTCCAAGGCAGCTCGGCTTTTCATTCGTCTATCTCACGCCCAGTATGACGGCTGGTGTATCCCCGTCATTCTCAACACACTCACTTCGCTTTTTAATAGCAAGTCACTAAGCCCTGACATTGACTTCTCAACATATTTGGCATATTCTCGTCAAAGAGCCCCTGTGGCTGCCTGCTATTGGAAGCATCTTCTCAAAGGCTCTCGCCTTACCCAGATCATCCCAAAACTCTCCCCTAAAGCCTGCGCAGACAGTCCTCTCAACATCAAACTGGGGCGTTCATTACCCCTACCTCAGCTACCTGGTGACATAACAATCGCATCTCTTGTCAGCTCAGCCTGGGCTTTGGTTCTCTCTGCTGTTAGCGGAGAAGAAGATGTAGTCTACGCTCAACTGGTCGGTGGACGAAACTCCGATATTCCAGGCATTACAGAGATAGTTGGGCCCTGCATAAACATCGTCCCAGTTCGTGCAGATGTCTCTTCAGCGAAAACGGTAGCTAATCTTCTCCATTCCGTTCAAGAGCAGTACGTTTCCATTGGAGAAGCAGACTCAATGGGCTTCAACGACATTGTTGAACAATGCACAAACTGGCCAGCCGGAACCATGTTTGACTCATACATCAAACATCAAAACATCGACGCAAATCCGGAGATTCACATTGCAGACGGGATATCCAAAGTACAATGGTTTGACAACCCCTTTGTAGTAGCACCTGAGCTGTCCATTGTCACGCAAGCGCAAGCCGGCAGTTTGCACGTTACAATCAATGCTAATACGCATATTCTCACGGCTGAATGTGCAGACAAGCTACTGGACCTCCTTTGCGAAACGACCTCGAGGCTCTCCATCAACCTTGAAATGACACTAGAATCGTTCAAGTCATCTACAACGTCATTTATCTAATTTTGCATAGTGAATGGTGCGGCATATCTGTTTATGCTGGGAATGATACGTCTGTGCATCTGCGTCAAGACATAATAGACAGAATATTATCCAATGAAATGTCGAGTGTTCTGAAGAACTTGGAGTTGGCAGTGATGTAAGCCAAGGTAGTTAAATCATAGTTACAACAGACCAGGTATAACCTAATACGACTCTACTTCTTGGTCCTTTTCATCTACCGAGTTCACGGAAAATCTTTGTCTCTACACCCTCATTACTGACGGCAATCTGGTCGAATCTATTGATAACTGCAGGTGGCTCTAGCCTTTAAGGGTCTGACACTCTCTCGCGGCTCCCAGATAGAGACTAAGAGAGGTAGATATATATCTAAGAGTAGCGGTGAATAATGTTCTCAATGAATGCATTTTCACCGCTCTGTAGAAGTAAGAAATAAGTGCCTAGCATAGACTATACGACGATGGTGTGTAACGTGACGGATAAGCGAGTCGGTCAGGCAAGCGAGTCGGTCACCCTACCAACTTTGCGCACCCACCACACCTTTGCCTACAATGCCTCCAAGCCACGCTTCTCAGTCAATTTCTCACGAGGCAGATATTC